TATTAGTGCTACCTCCCTCCAATATTTCACTGGTTTGTTTACTAGCAATTACGCCAGTATCGTCTACAACATCTAAAGAGCTTTCAAGATCAGGTGTGACATTATGCCAATCCCATGTTTGTCCTTTTGCAAATCGAACGTCACAACTAATGATGAGTTTCTTTGTGATGGGGTTATACATGCGGAAAGCCTTTGACTCTTCACTGATGCCCAGAAAGATGTAGCGCTCGCTTTGGCATCCAACTTTGTTCTGATTGAAAATGGTATATGTGTATAGCCTATGCAACCAAAAATTTTAAAGTGAGCTACAGAAGGCTTACGGTTAGACCAAGCTTCTTCGGGAGCATGGCTTTGATAGCAAAGGTGGGACTTCGATTCAGAATATGCACACTCCAATTGACAGCTTCGAGCCAAAAAGTTTTTGGGAGATTTTATCTTGCCATCATGCTACGCACCATATTGAGAATAATGCGATTTTTCCTCTCGGCTACGCCATTCTATTGAGGCGTGTAGGCTACAGTGAGTTGACGTTGAATGCCATGTTGCTCACAATATGTCACGAATGCCCATGAATTAAACTCACCACCATGGTCGGTGCGAAGACATTATGGAATAGCCTGTCATCTTCTCTACTTTGGATTTAAAGCTTTGAAAGGCAGTAAAAGCTTCAGATTTTTCATGTAAAAGATAAACCCACGTTTTGCGACTTTAATCATCAATGAAGGTAAGAAAGTACCTCTTCCCACTTGATGAAGCTGGGTTGATAGGTCCACATAAATTGGAGTGAACTAACTCCAAGATATGTTCATCTCGCCATGCTGGAGCAGTGGGAAAAGAGTCACAAGGCTGCTTGCCTATAGTGCATTCATCACATATGTCAGTTTGAAGCTGAATAGGAGGTAGACCAATGACCATGTTCTTCTAACATAGAGTTTTCAGCCCACTGAAATTCAAGTGTCCATATCGGCAATGCCACAACCAATATTGGAATATTGGAATGTAAAACACATCTGTCAGTTTACACACATGCTTATCAAAATGTATGTATATGTTTCCTTTGCCCATCACGACAACGGTAGAATTATCTCTCAACTTGACATGTTCTTGAAATGCTTCATTTAATTTAGAGAATAGAGATTTGTTACCGCTCATGTGATTGCTAAAAACAGAATCCAAGTACCAGATTTCTGAGTTAGTTGCCTCCTCCTTCTGAACGTATGCCATCAAGAGCACCTCCTCAGATTCAGCAAATTTTGTTTCTTCATTTCTAGAGATGTCGGGGCACTCATATTGATAGTGACCACGTTTATGACACCGAAAGCATTCTACATTGGATTTGTCTCACGTACCTTCTTGTTTTGAGCTTGTGTATCACGCCAACAACCTCATCCACGTCCATAGCCTCTCCCACGGCCACGACCTCATCCATATAGGGAGGTAATCTCCCGTCGAGTGTCTTCACCAAGTGAAGCTTTCAATAATTTTTCTTCAACAACAAAGCTAGCCAATCTTTGTTCATGGACCAATAAAGAGCTTTGTAAGTCATCAACGGAGAGAGTGGTAACATCTCGAAATTTTTCGATGGAGCATACAACATAAGCGAACTTAGAGGTCATGGAGTGAAGAATTTTTTCCACAACCACCACATCCTCCATTCTTTCGCCATGAAGTCTCATTTTGTTCGCAATCACCAATGTTCGCCCAAAATATTCATCAACAGTTTCTCCTTCCTTCATTGCAAGAATTTCAAACTCTCTGCGAAGAGCTTGTAATTGAGCGCGTTTGACATAGGTTGTCCCTGAAAAACTTCTGTTTCAGTGAGTCCCAAATATCTTTTGCAGTATCTTTCTTGAGGATGGTTTCGAGAGTGACACGATCTATAGCCCGGAAGAGATAATTTTTGACTTTTAGGTCTTTCAGCTTCAATTCATCTAGCTCAACATAGCCAGTTTCTACCAGCCCCCACTATTCCTTAGATTGCAGGAAATTCTCCATCAACATGCTCCAATGGTAATAGTGACCATCGAAGCGAGGGATGGCTGGCTGCACAAAATTCCCTTCGGTTGTCATCTTCCTTGGTGCTGCAAGATCCTCAAAGATTGCTGCTTTAATTTTGTCAGGCCCAGTGGGGGCTCTGATACCACGTGTAGATATATCGATAGTTAACAGAGAAAATTTACTAACTCAAGAGGATGTTTTATTATGTATAAGAGGTTGGCATATATAGTCATACAACAACTTGAAATCCACAAAAAAAAAAAAAAACAGAAAGAGAACACTTGTATGCTACAGATCTGGTCGAACTCTTTTATCATAACGAACCACTATATGTGTTCCTAATAACAAGGGATTATTAACAACCAAATTGACTAACTCAACTGCATCNCTTGTTTTTCTTGCCTTTTGTGAGGAGTATTTATACCTCAAATACTCATGATTGCTGTCAATGTGGTCAGTAGGTGATCATTAGATACAGGCAACGTGCGCACTGATTCCTACGAGGAATGTCTTCTCTTTTAACTGCTTGGGACCCCGAGCAATCAAGACTGTGTCATCGGTCTGCCGACGGTTCAATGAACTCCTCTCGGCAAGGATATAATAAATGCCCAGCCTTAGAGACATTTATTATCTTTCACTTTCGAGCCTTACCGCATTAAATGCTGTCTCATCAAAGGAATGATATAATTAAATGCTTGCTTTCCCAAGTCGTATGTCAGCAAGGGCATCCGGTCTTTCTGTCTCTGATGTAACACAATATGTCACGCGTTCATTCCCCATTGGTTGTGTCCCCTGCCCTCTGTGCCTTCTGACACCAATTGCGTAAGACGAGGTCATGATAGCTAACCTAGTCTAGCGTAGGCTAATGACCTGTACATCAATAGTCTCTGCTGGAGCAAAGAACGGTATCCTAGACGAGAGGGGTACATCTCGGTACCGAGGAAGAGGTACATCTCAGACCCGAGGAAGAGGTACATCTCGGAGCCGAGAGGGGGAGGCCTAGCGACCGATGTACAATATCAGACCGAGAGGTACGTGTCGGTACATAAAAACGTACTGGATGCCACTTGATCCCTATGCTAAGTACCTCGGGGGAGAGGGAACTTGTGAACCGATGGATACATGATCTCGGTAACAAGGATTAGTGACACCGAGGACACGTGTCTTCATCTTGGAGTATTTCGGAAATGTCCCATCAATCATAAACATATAGTAAATCTAACATTTTATTCCAATACCTCAAGGAACATATAATCCCAATGGAAGGCAGACAAATTCAGACATGCAGATACACACGTCACACAGACAGAGATTGAGGAGAGGAAGCACCACTGTTTGTTCTTGCCCGATTTGTGAAAACGCAGGGGAGAGAGAGGGGGAGTGACGGCTGGGAATAGGGAAGCATGTGGGTTGTGAAGAAGACAGAGAGAGACAGAGGTACAGAGGGACGGGTGGGAAGTTTTGGCCAGCAGAATCCCACTTGAATAAAATGACGCTATATGTATTATCTTCTTCAATCTGAGTTCCAAGTTCGATCGGTAACCGTTTATATAGTGGCTGACAACTTGAAAACCCAATGAATTTGGTGTAGGCCTCGGACAACATTTTCACAAACCCAAAAGCAACCAAAGTTTGATTTGTATATTTCTTCTTCACCATCGTAACATCCATTGCACAAAAATGGATTACTATCTCAAAATTGTTGTATACATATGGGTGGGACAAGAAATCAAAGTAGAAGACACAATAGAAATTAAAAAAAAATATAGAAAAAGGTCGTTAGGCTATCTTCGAGATAATATTTTTCCTACTATGATGCAGGTCTAATATTTAATACTATCAAAGACCATATTTCTTACTAGTCTTGGAACTTGAACTCAACCCGAATAAACTTTGAAAATTAATCTCAAGAAAATATGATAATAGAGATAAAAAATTAACAAGTGACTTCATTATGACTTCTACAATTTTTTTTTTTTTTTATTTGAGGAAGGGAAGTAGGGAAGGAGGCTTAAACCCTTGATTTCGATAAAACAAAACATTTACAAGACAAGGAGTACCATTGAACCAAAGACCCGTTGATATTATGACTTCTACTATTAGCCAATGATAAGAACCCTATATTTATAGTATTCCATATACTTCTTTAGAAGGGTTGTGCCTCTTCAATTAAATGTCAATAGATACTTTTATCTGGAAAGTTGTAACTCTTGTCTTTAAGAGTCACTTTAATCACTAATAAAAAAATAAATATATAATTTATCATTATTAGTAAATATTGGTATATATCCATATATATACATTCGTTGTCTTCAACGTGTTTTCTTTACTTGGGAAAAAAACTCGATATGGTTCTATTTATTATTATTTTTAATTTTTTCACGTGTTACACGTTATGTAGTGCTAATTAATAGTATGGGTATAGAAATTATAAACTTATATATGCATTTGCATAAAATTTACTATTATGTTTAATTATTATTGTTGTAAAAAAATAATAATCTCATTATAAAAATTATAAACGTGTATATACCTATGCATACTATTATACATACAATTAAACTTAGAGAAACCCAACAAAAGAAAAGTCAAACAAGTAAAATGTAAAAGAACAGGCTACTTAAAATGGATCGTAAGAATTTCGCTATTTAATTTCTTTGCATATTTTCTACTTCTTTGGAAATATTGTGATTTTTTTTTCTTTTTTTTTTTGACAACAGACCATGATGCCCCATCCAACATGGCAGCATTGAAAGATTAATTTTGTGAGAAATTTAAAATCTAAGTGTTATGAGTTATAGATAGATAGATAGACATAGAATTGGAGCAATAGAAAAATGGGTGACACTATTATGTATAGGAGCAAAAAATTACATACATTATTTTCTAAGGGGGTTGTCACGGCCCTTAAGATACTATGATACTTTAAATGATTAGTAACAACTAACTCCCGATGTACACGCTATTAAAGAATTTATTAAACTTAGCGTGAGTCAACATATTTCACAGACAAAATGCTCAAAATATTCATATGGAATCCATGAGAGGCCCAACCTTTTTTTTTTATGCCAACTATTCCTAGCTCTTTGACATTGTCTATACCGGACACAAAAATACTACCTCGAGTCACCACAAACACCAAATCACCACCACAGATCACAACCACTTCCACCACCTGAACCCACCCCAATTTTAACTAAAGATAATGAATCTCTCACAAAGTCTACCGAACACACTTCACAACAGAGGAAGAAGGATCATCACCACTTTACAGATTAAAATGTGGTGATATGCCATGTAATATTTTGATGTTACAAACCATACGTCCATTTTCCTAGCATTCCTAATGTTGTAACTTTGGAAAGAGAAGGGGCTAAGAGAAATGCGAAAAACACCTAAGTAGAAAAAATAAATAATGATTCAGTCAAGATAAACTTTGATATCAATGCCATTATCAATGAGCGACTGAACGACTGCTCTGATTTTCCCTTCAAACTTGTCCCTCTCCCTCGGAGTATAAGCCGCTGTGTAGGCATCAGCTTCTCTTGCCCTCTCAGCTAAAATCCGGCCTACGGCCAAACAAGCAGGTATATCTGATCGCGATTTTAGCACAGCCTTGATATCTTTGGAGTTAGTACCAGCAACTGCAACCTGCTTGCTTGTTACCCTGTGGGTGATTGAGGCCGACACAAAACGCTTTGAGATGAACACGTCAAGTGTAAATGGTTCCATATAAGCTACTGTTCTTTGCTTGAATGATAAGTGCTTGTCTGGATTTTTAGATTTCTTCTCCTTCTTGTAAGTGTATGGTCGACTATTGTCATCGTCGAGGAAGTCCTCTACGCCAAAAAAACTTCTTGGTGCAAAACAAGGCTGTGAGTTCATAGAAAGCCAAAACTAAGAACAATGCAAAAATAAGCTGTGAAAACTCAAGTAGGCTTAAAGTCACAAAGAAATTTAAACAAAACATTACTAATTAAATCACGATCCCATCTTACATATATTGCAATAATCAGGGAGGAAAGATTAACAACGTGCTTTACTTTTGACTCGTCACAAAGTTTCTTCTTTTGCACTCAAATTCCAGTATTTTGGTAATTTTGATTTTCAGGAATTCTGCTACATTGTTGACATTTATTTTTTTTGGCTTTTCCTCCAACATTGACACCACAACTAATAGAGCTACAAACTGTCTAACAAATGAGAGTTCGTAAATAGGATACTAAAAAACAGTCAAAGGCCTGTTCCATTAAAACCTGATACTAAAAAGCAATATTTGGATGATCTGAAATACATGTAAGCTACCTTCGGAAAAAATGAAAGACATGTAAGCTCCATAGACCCAACCATTTTCCAACAACGTACCACAGTCAGGTACATGATCACTTATTAACCATTGGAACACTCTTGCCAGAACAACATGGGATTTTGAACCTTTTTTTTTAATGAAGTCACACAAGCTAGATAGGTCGTGGGCTTGGCCCTTTTGGAGGTGGTGTGGGCGCTTGGGTTTATTATCCTTCTGGGCACTCTTGTGATCTGTTGTTGATGTTGGGTAATTAAAAATTGTGTGCTTTCTACCTTGTGTGACTTCCTTAAAAAAAAGGTACATGGTCTCTTAAAATAGGATAAAGATGTCACAGAAGATCCACAGATGTAATTTGCAAGAAGCCCTTGTCGGCTATGTGGGTAGCAGGTTGGCAAGGGGCTTAACAGTATCCTAAGATTGTAGATGCAATTTCTCTCCATTCATTAGGATCGATAAACAGTTATTTTATCACCTAGAGTGTAATTGAAGCACTGCAGACTTTAGGTAATCAGACGACATATATCCATTTAAAATTCATGCAAACATGTGAAAAATCTTAGCCACTTGAACCCAAGGTTGTGTTTAAGTCCTTCAAGGTTTTTGAAGATGTAATGTAGGGAGATGTATTTTTCGAACAAATAAACTAATCCACTTGTGGAGGAATTACAAACTGCTTTTAAGAAAGAGAATCAACCACCATAGTCATGACTAAGTGAAATTTACATAGCTACAAGAACACTAGCTAAGACCTCGGCCAAGTAAAGTGTAGTGGAGATTTCTTTTCCAATCAAAACTAAACTAATCCACTCTTCAAAGAATTACAAAGTGCTTTTAAGACAGAGAATCAATCATCATACTCATGACCATGCGAAATATATATAGCTATCAAGAACACTAACGAAGACTTATGCCACTGGCCTCATGAAGTAGGTTTCTCTTTTAAGTTTGAAAAAAAAAATGCATGGCATTTCATCCATGACTTACTTATTCATGATCATACATCGAAATACTTCAGCCCCCCTTGAGCACCTCCAAATCTACAGAATAAAAGCGAAAACCATTTCATTAACTGGTCCAAATCATTTCCTCATATATTGCAACTCAGATCTGGTTGCAATAGCCATTCGACAACGGCCTAGTTAGTTGAAACCCTAATATCTTCATCTACCATATTACTTTCTCATGGAGTTTTCAAATAAGCAGTCAAAGTTGAACCATTACCAAATACAAATCAAGTATCTAATACTGATTTCCAACCAACCAAGCAACTAATAGAGATCTTCAACAATGAGCACCATTTCGGAATATTTCGATTGCATAATCAAACAAATCTTTCTTCTTGTTTCCAGATTGACTTAAGGTCTGGAGCATTTTTATCAAAATTTTCACTGTGTGGGATAACTTTCCTGGCAGTCTCACAATAATTGTTAATTTACTAAGAATGCACCTTTACATGCTAAGGGCTCAGAAAGCCAATATGACTATCCAGGAAAGCCATAGACAGATAGAATACTCTCCTCATAAGTCTCTACACTGCCATTAATGATTAACCCTCCAGCAAACTCTATTCCTATACATGGTGTTGAATCCAATGTCACTGAAATTTGAGGTTCACCAAACTCAACACTACTACATTAAGCTGACTTCTACACCAACATTCACCATACCTGCCTTTTTATAATAGTTAATAATTCATCAACCATGTTAATTCTCTCCAGACTCGGCTATTTTCTGAAAAATTTCAGCATTTCACTCTTATCATCTCCCAGCCCATTTCTTCTTTGACCCGAGGGGACCATTGCCAACAGAAGTATAAAAGGAAATTCATATCCTAAATAAGGGGGCAAAATGTAGTAAATAAATCTCAAAGTAAATACCGAAAACTCTTCCACCAAATTAACGGAAAGCCATACAGATTGCAGGAGTACTAGCATACTATTGCATAAATGATGTTACACAGGCTGACTCCTCATTTGATCACCCAATTGGGACTGATATGGAAATCAAAACAATTCATTTTTAAAAGAAATGGACAAATATGCTGTATTAGTTTCAAAATTGCTGCTGCCACGTTGGTTGTAGAATAGAAGAATTAAACATCCAAAGTGTACCTGTCCAGAGTGGAAGCCAGTTGCGGGTGCATACAAACAAAGCCTGATTTTCCCACCTCCGTGGGTACATAAGTTGCGATACACTTGCTTCAACATGACTCCACAAACCCAAATTCTATAAATAAGCAAAGCGTACAACAGTCAGTTGGTCTAATTCACTGCTGAACAAATATATTACAAAGAACGCACCTCCAGGTATAGAGTACACAGAACTTTGCATTTACCTCCTAGGCTGAAATCTAATTGTTATCATATGACATCATTGATTAAGCAAGCACATGTGCAATTTGATGGGGGAAACAGGACTATCTAATCAAGTGCATGGAAATTTTGATGTTGGCATCTCATAAAAATGGACGCAGGGAATTAAGAGAATGTAAAGCCTTCGGACACTAAAATCTTATTACCAACATGTTACATGAGGTTAGTGTCAATGAACATAGTAATAATAGAACACTCTAAATTGCAACAAAGCACATCAACTATGAAGTATGGACACTCTAAAAAAGGTGACGTATCCGTGTTGGACAAGTGTAGAACACCGACACTCTTCGGACATTCTTGGACACGTGTCCGGTACTTTTTATCCATGTCCATAATTAAATGATAAAATTTTAATTTCATAAATGTGTCTGACACTTNGAAGTGAAGACTTGTTGGCATCCGATCACAATGATGATGATGATGATGCATTTTCAATTGAAATTGAAGATTGAGTTCAAAATGGATGTTAGAAATTTGGATTAGAAGTCTCTTTGGTGTTTAAAGTTTGAATTAGTGAACTATGGTTGTGAACTTTGCATTATAATAGTAGTGGATTATGTTGATAACTTGAATAGTTGGTGGAGTATTAATGAAATGCTATATTTTTTATGAGTGTATGACTTTTTTTCAAAGGTATATATATTTTTTTATTATTTATTTAAAATTGCATCGTATCTTACGATACACGATACGATACACGATACGATACAATATTTGTATCTTACGATACGCCTTCCGATACACGATTTGATAACTATGGTGTCTACTATTAAACAATAAACATGTGTTGACATATGTGATTTTAACGAAGCTTAAAAATTGACTATTAAGTATCTTGTACTATGAGAGAACATATAATTACCAAAACTAGACATGTTAAAGTTGTACTTAAAATATAATAACAAAAATAAAAGATACATAAAAGATTTAGAAAAGAGTAATTGAAAAAATGAAAACAATCAATTAAATTATATATATTTAGTACACATCTACAAAAAAAATTGATGATTATTGATTATTATGAAGTTAGCCTAAAAATTCACACTAGATAACTAGATATAAAATTTATTTATCATAAAATATTAATTTTTTTATGAATAATATATCATTATTAGTACATCATTATATTTGTGATATACTATATAATTTTATATATAATACACAATTATTTGTAACATGTAGTGTTATGTCTGCACAGCCGTATCATTTTTCCCAAAAAATAACACAACCTATAACATTGCGTAAGCGCTAATAAGCATAGCAAAAAAAGTGATAATTCAACTGGAACTGAAAATTCCCAAGTATATATAGAAAACCATTTTGGATTTTTAATTATTTCCCAAAATACAAAAGAAATCCTCGCATTCCTATTGAAGTAAATATAATTTCAAAGCCCCATTCCCACAAAAAAATTCAAGTGCACTCGATAGCCGATACGACTGCACTGTGCTTATATGATCAAATCCAACCAACATGGTGTCCCAGCCACCGTCACCTTATCTGTTAAGGTGGAAGTCAGACAAATCACGACTTAACTTCATGCAAACTAAGTTAATATGTTCAGAAATTACGGCTTCAGCTGGTTTCGGTCGATCAATGATAGTTAACTCAAACCGAGTCTAAGTATATTCAAACTGGAAAGGCTCGGTTCAATTAAGACCCTATCGCAAGTGCTGCCCCATCCAACTATACTTGTCTCTACGACAATAGCTCAAAAAGATCTAAAATGTAACAAAAAAAGGAGAAGATGGTTTTGGGTTTGTTTGCTCATATCAGTATGACACAATTTACAGGTAAAAAAAGGAAGCAAGAAAAATTCAAACCCTCTGTTTTCTTCACTCCGACATTTCGTCGATCACCTAGAATGCAGAGGCGTTGGGTTGGTTTCTGGTATCAGCCCGGATGAAAAGCTATACATTTGCTCAATCACCTAGTATGTATAAAAGGAAATGGATGGAAGCTACACGATTTAATAGGACAGTGGATGGCGGCCCTAATTTCATCAAATTAACAGCAAGGGTTATTAATTTGATGAATTTTTTGTGTGTATGTGTGGGTGTTCTGTACGGATGAGTGTTATGTGTATTTGCTGGGTGGGGGTTGTATGTGTGCATGATGTATCTGTGTGTGTGTGAGTCTGTTTATGTGACGGGTGTGTTTGTGTCGGTGTGTGAGTGTGTGTGCTGTGTGCTGTGTGCGTGGATGTCGAGAAGAGAAGAGAAAAAGAACAGAAGATGGGAAGAGAAGGAGATTAACCTCGGAGAAAGTCGCCGGATTTGCCGAGTCCGTTGGAGTTTCGCAGGAGTCCGATGCTGGAGAGAGACAGGAGAGAGGGAGAAGGAAAAAAATCTTGGCGCATCCCAAATTCCTATCCCAAATCGAGGGTGATCAGTACGTATCCTCAACTTTTTTAAATGGCCTTAATCCTCTTTTAATTTAGAATAAAAATTTGAATTACAAATTTAAAATACATATCGAAATTGAGCGGAATTATGGTAACTTAAATACATTTTGTTGATTTTTATGCAGGCCTATTGCTTATTGGAAGTCAGAATTGATGAAAAAGTTAGAGATAAAGATAAAGAGTAAAATAATGAAAATAGGAGAATGAAAAAAAGATTGGAGAATAGCGAAAAGAATTTGAAATAAATTGTTACTTTTAACGGTTGTTGTAGACTGTGAAAATATTGTTATATTTTAAAATTTTTTATAAAATATATAAACTTGTAAAATATATTAATTCTTTAACTTGATCCATTCAAAAAGGTCTGAAAGAATCAAATTGAGCTAAGGACTAAAAATTAAATTGGAACCTTGAGCAATTATTTTATTGGTCAAGCCCTAGGGTCAGCCTGTTATGCCTCTTCCAATTTAAAAGATCAAAGTATATGTGCATTTTCGTAACAATTGTAATTTCTACTCGCCCATGTTGTGAGTCTTCATTCATAAAACTAATTAAGTGTGACAAACTAATTATTAGATGACACGAAGTAATTAAAGGTAATATATGTGTTACCCATATTTTATGTTACCCATATTTTATGCATTTTTTTTTTAATTTATCAAAAATCATGGATAGACCGTTACAAGGTACTGTCAGAGTAAAGATGTTCAATGTTGCAACGTGGTGTCACATAATTTTTTTTATTATTAATTTTGGCATTTAATATATATTAGACATTACATATATGTTATTTCATATCATTGCTATCTACGTGCAACTGTTCAATAGTACAATCCATATAAATTACAAATATACATATATTGTCATGGCTAAATATACATTTTTTAGCAAACAGATCCGCACATCTATTTGTCTCTCTCATCTCTTACTTGAACTGCACTTTTCAGGATATAATTTATTGTTTAATTAGTATTTTTATGTTCTTCTTATTTGTTTTGTATGTTCATCGTGAAAATTGTGGTATTATATTATTGACTATTAGTATGTATTCATAATTTCTTGTTATCTTGTTATTGAATTATTTTATTATTTTTTTATGATCCTTAACTTGTTTATATATACAACGTTTACCTATTGTTTTGTTGTGTTTTATTTTCTTTGATATCAAATTTATTGATTTTTTTTATTTTAATTAGTTTTTATTGTGGATCCTTTATGAGAATGAACAATTTAATTAGTTGGTGTTTTTACATTTAAATGAGAATAAAATTGAGATTGGGAGAAATAAAAAATGTGTTTGATTTATTTTTATTTGTGGAAGAGAGATGTTTATTATATTTTTTTATCGAAGTGTTAACCATTTTTCTGTCCTTTAATAAATGTGCATGTGAGAGATGGACTGCACTTTTAGACCTAAATTTTAAATTTTCTTTTGTTGACTCAAAATTTTTTTACTAAGCCAAATTACAATGAATTTAATCTTTAAATTATAATTCATTATTGAACTCTAAAATTTGGAATCTTTTTATAAGTGCGACTAGAGCCCATGTTTTTTTTTGGCTGTATTGTTGAGCCGGCCATGGAGAGATGGGACTGTGGAGAGCAGTGTTTCAAAACTCAGCCCGAACCGGTCGGTTGACCCGGTGAATCGGTGGTCTAACTGGGCTGGTTTTCATAAAAGACCGTTTATGCTTGAAAATCAGAATTAAACCGCTAAACCAATCAAAAATCGGTGAACCCGCTCAAACCGGGCAAGTTAAACTAAACCGGACGGTTTAATAAAAATAGTATAAATAACACATATTTTGCACTTTTTAGGCATTTTGTGTTTTTGCCCTTTTCTTTTGCCTAAATCGCTCCAGACTAGACCGCTTGAAACAGCCTCCACCAACGATTCCATGCTCCAGTCAAACCTCCAACCTCCATGCTTCAATCCAACCTCCACCAGCCTCTAGTCCACCAACAATTTTGAGTTTCCCTCTCTCTCTCTCTCTCTCTCTCTCTCTCTCAGTTTTTGCCTTTTTGTTGCCCTAAAATCTAAATCGTTCCCAAACCCCCCTCTCTGAGACTCTCAAATGCTCTCTTTGCTTCTCTCTCTCTCTCTCTCTGAGTCTCTGCTGCAACTACGAGTGAGCAATAAAAGCTCAAGGGTGAAGGAAGTCTACTTTACAGGCTCCTTCTTCGTTGCTTCAGGGACTCTTGCTTCAGATCTTGAAGAAACTCGAAGAAGAGGCTGCTTCAAGCTTTAGATCTCCATTGTGGTAACCAACGACAACACCCATTGACAGTGACAGATACTACTTCGTCTCTCTCTCTCTCGTTATCTTTCTTAATTGCTCTCTCCTGCGATAATAGATTTTTGATTTGTATACATTGAATCTGTAATTAAGAGCAATCATACTCTGTCTCTCTACTATTTTTATTGAATCTGTATTTTTTTATTTTTATACATTGAATCTGATTTTTGATTTGTGATTATTTTCATGCATGAATTTTTTATACATTGAATCTGAGATTTGTTTGGATGTTGTTGATGCCTTTGAAACTTGAATTTAGATATATGGTGGTGTCTTTGTTGCTATGAAATGAGATTTTGATGGGTTTATTATAATTTTTTTGCATATTTATTATTATTTATAATTATTTATTATTTATTATTATATTACCAGTTCAACCAATGACCTAACGGTTGAACCATTGACCCAGCAACCCGATTTCTTTGTCCGCGCCGAGTTTTAAAACACTGGTGGAGAGAGAGAGAATGTAACGGCAGTCGTGATAACTAATCTATACTACTATAAAATATCAACAAAAATGAAAATCTTTTGTTTGACTATAATTACCTTAATACAACTACTAATATCTATACTACCTTTTTTTATTTAATATATATATATGTGTGTGTGTGTGTATTATTATATAAATCTTTAAATGTCTTAATTCTTCATATTTATACTTAAATAACAACTATGTAAATTTATTGGCATAAAAAGTGAGTGCATCGGTTGGTATGAGCTACAACTGTGTATATTTATTGGCATAAAATTGGGTGCACCCAAAGGCTAGGCGAGAATATGAAGGTGGTCACTACTAATAGGCAATAATCTATACTAGTACAACATGTCAACAAAAGTGAAAAAAAAATATTTGTTTGACTATAATAACCTTAATACAACTACTAATATCTATATTATCCTTTTTCATTTAATTTATATAAATATATATATCTATGTGTGTGTCTGTGTATTATTATATAAATCTTTAAATGTCTTGAGTCTTCATATTCATACTTGAATAACAGCTATATATATTTATTGGCATAAAAAGTGGGTGCAACCGGAGGTAGCCCAACAAATCCAGAGACCTTAGGCGAGAATATGAAGGTGAGCCCTATTAATATGCAATAATCTATACTATTATAAAATGTCAACAAAAGTGAAAATTTTTTGTTTGACTATAATAACCTTAATACAACTACTAATGTCTATACTACCCATTTTCATTTAATTTATATATATGTGTGTGTGTGTGTGTGTGTGTAGCGTTAAATAGAACTGTGGTTTGTGAGTTAGTGAATCTGATAATTTGTGCAAGAGAGGCAGAGTGATATAGAGAGATTTGCTTAATTCCTTCACGGATGTGAGAGAGTGAGAGAGAGAGAGAGAGATTATCTTTCCTTGTTATACAAGTCTAACAGTCTGCTACAACTAGTAAGTTGAGAAATTTTTTAGGTAAGTTGTTGAAATGTTAATAGACTTATCAATAAAACTTGGGCCCTCTCAAACTAGCCAATCTAAAATATATATACTTATAACTAAAAGTCTTAACAGGGGACCCCAATTAGGGGTCCTAGGCGGCCAACTAAGTGGCCTAGGCCTAGGGCCGGCTCTGGCAGGAGCGGCCCAACAAATCCAGAGACCCTAAGCGAGAATATGAAGGAGCCCACCTTCATATTAAATTTATATGAAGGTGGGCTCTATTAATAGACAATAATATATACTACTATAAAATGTCAACAAAAATGAAAAACTTTTATTTGATTATAATAACCTTAATACAATCACTAATGTCTATACTACCCTTTGTTTTATTAAATTTATATATATATATATATATATATATATATATACATATATATCTGTGTGTGTGTGTATATATTATTATATAAATATTTAAATGTCTTGATTCTTCATATTCATACTTGAATAACAGTTATGTATATTTATTGGCATAAAAAGTGGGTGCATCGGTTGGTTTGAGCTACAATTGTGTATATTTATTGGCACAAAAAGTGAGTGCACCCAGGGGCCTAGGTGAGAATATGAAGGTAGACCCTATTAATAGGCAATAATCTATACTATTACAAAATGTCAACAAAAGTGAAAAACTTTTGTTTGACTATAATAACCTTAATACAACTACTAATGTCTATACTATCTTTTTTTCAATTGATTTATATATATATATATAT